TATATACAAACAGGGATATATTTTTAAGTTAAATTAAAAACTCACTTGCATTAGAAAACAGATCATTTCTTCTCAGATGAACAGAGTGTTGCGATATATTCCAATACCAGAGAGAGAATGATAGATAGATCCAAACGAAGCCACGAAGAGGAAAAAAATCCGGACGACTATCCGTGCGATGTGCACTGCAGTAAAGACAGTCTTCTCCATATGATGTTGCAACTACATTAGGGAAATGGCTTTTTATGAATGGGAGGGTAAGAAACGTACTGCGCAGATGCTTTGATGGGGTTTTTTTGTTTTTTTGTGAATGGGAGGGCATTACGACTCGGGGTTACACTTTTATGAATGGGAGAGCTCCGGATTTTACTGCGCATGCGCCGTTTCAAGATTTCATGAATGGAAGAATGGGGGCTTTTCGTCACAAGGGCAATGTCAAAGCGGATTACATGGAGAAGGCGGCTACTACTGCTTTAATTCGTGTTTTCTATACATTGCCTTATTCGTGCGTGTCTTCCAAAGGTCCTGACCTGTTACGGTATGGAAGCGTAATCATCGTGAAAGGAAATTTAAGGCAACTGTGTATTTACTGGACAGCTTGAACATACTGCTGGGGTCATGTGTTATTTTTGATATGACGCAGTGGATATATGAAATTGCACGATAACGTTTTAGTCCAAAACACTTTTGAGTTTCATCACCACGGGTTAATTTGTAAGCCTCGAGTGGCGTGCACTTTATCCTCATTTTGTGTAATCAGAAAACATGTAAGGAACGACCGGTCTTGCTTAAAATGGAAGGGGGGGAAAGATAGAGAGCGAGAGAGTTTGCATTTAAGCGGTCCCATTTTGATTTCTCATTTCCAGTTTGGCTGCACTGGAGTAGCAAAAACACGTTTATGACGCAGCAGCATGAGGTCATGCAGGATCAACAAAAGAACAGGATGTTGTCGATTTGTAACGATGCCGCAAGCAGGAAATGTGTGTGAATTTCCTTTCTAACATCCCTGTGTCTACCCTTCCCCCCCAAGGATAATTCCCAGCTTGACTAATGCTGTCAAATTTTAATGGGCAGCCTCTACTTTAGCACACATTTCCATGACAACATCTGCTTTCATATTAAAAATACAGTCACATTATTTGATGTGCTAAATTTAGGAGAGAAATGGTTTCATTATTATAGCTTTGTTGTATGCAGTGTATACTGTGCTAAAATGTAACTCTATGGAAAAAAAAAGAAACAGCACTTTTAGTATTGATTAGATCAGTGGTTCCCAACCCTGGTCCTGGAGGCACCCCAACACTGCATGTTTTGCATGTCTCCTTAATCAGACACATCTGATTCAGATCATCAGCTCATTAGTAGGGACTTCAAGACCTGAAATTGGTGTGTCAGAGAAAGGAGACATGCAAAATGTGCAGTGTTGGGGTGCCTCCAGGATCAGGGTTGGGAACCACTGGATTAGATGGCAACCTGGGGGAAGGAGACAGAGCTAAATATAGTAGGCCTACATGCACTCTTTGAACGCAGTGTTTTCCATTTGGTGCAAATGACCACAAACTGAGAATAGGATTATCAAATGAGTCAATTTAACATCTCCAATACACAATGGGTTCCATACCATGGAAATGGTTTCTGCCTAATGTCATATAAATCTAATGATAAATAACTGATGAATAGGTTTATTTATTTATTTTTATTTATTTACTTATTTATTTCTTCCCTAGTGAAACATAAATATAGCCTACTAAAATATATTTGAAATACATTTATTTCATGTTAAGTATACTACAAATACATATTTATGTACTTAAAGGGGTCATATGATGCGATTTCAAATTTTCCTTTCTCTTTGGAGTGTTACAAGCTCTTGGTGCATAAAGAAGATCTGTAAAGTCTCAAATCCAAAGAGATATTCTTTATAAAAGTTAAGAGTCAGCCACGCCTACCTAAAACGGCTTGTTCTAACACGCCCCCACATGTCTACGTCACGATGTGGGAAGATTTGCATAACGCTGCCCAAATGTTCACGCAAAGAAAGAAGGCGTAACTTTTATTCTCGCTGTAGTATTGTTGTTGCCGCCGCCATGTCGTGAAGGCGCTGTGTGCTTCGTTGTGAAAGTGAATGTAACAATCGACGCGTTTCAGAAAGGCAAATAATGTTTTTTTAACCTTAAACCACATAAACACATTTCATTACACCAAATACACAAAATAATGTTCTTTTTAGCAGCATCATATGACCCCTTTAATAAAAATGCACTGCAATTGTACTTTTAGTATACTAAACTGGTATACTAAACATACTTTAGTATGCTAAATTGGAACAACTGATTTTATATTTAATGCACTTTAATTGTGCAAATGTAGTGCTGAAGTCTAACTAAAGATATACTGAAGTATATTTGATTGTGCTCAAGTTGAACTATTGCAAGTATACTTTAAGTACACTTTGAATATATTGCATTTAAAGACTGATATTATGCAAAGATCATATAGTCCTCATCAGTAGTGACATTAAAACACATTTTAGGCTTTTAATATTAAGAAATGTGCATTGTGCACAAGTAGTACTCCAAATAAAGTTTAATTAGAATTTTTGTATCAGTAAGTCTCGAGCGATATGTCAGTAAATATGTTAATAGATTTGAACTTTACTTAGTGTGAAATAAATGTATTTTAAATATATAACTTTTTACTAAGGTTGAAACTTTATTTGTTTTTATTTTTTTTAAGATTAGATGGTTAAGAGATTTATTTATTTATTTATTTATCTGTGCAACCAGTTAAGGTTCATAAATAAAGCATTTTAAATTGGATTGTAGTTTGTAATTCCAAAAATTCAGAATTAACAACCACACTGTACTATGCATAAAGTTTAATCACCTAGTGCTTTAATCACCTTCATAAATGCAAAAAAACAAATACTTTAAGTATACATTTTCATGAATGCGCAATACTTTTACTTAAATATGTGCTGTTGCTTTCAGGCCAGACTAGCATGGTGACCTGATTTAAAAAGCAGCAGCCTGTGGCCAATTGGGGGGTCCCTCAGTTTCAGGCCAAGCCCACAGGAAGGAGCTTGTGTGAGGGATATATGCGGAGAATGCAAGCCTTTGGAGATCTGGGCCTATGTGGGGAGAAGAGGTAGGCCCCTTCTGGTCCCCTGCTGATACAGAGGGGAAAGCCGAGCTCTTGGTGAGATGGTGACCCTCGACCCTTCTTCAGAGAATTGACAGGAGCGGCCCTGAACTCTCACCCATGGGACAAACTAGCGATGAAGCGTGACCTGTTGCTGGGGGCGTGGACCTGCCATTCAGGCCTCAAGAATTCTGGGCATTCCACGTGCCATTCCCCTTACATAGCAGACTTCCCCCTCCCATGAGAACCCACACCAGTACCCCGTTATCCAAAACACAAAAAAACCATCACAAAGTTCCCATTACGCACCATCAGTGCAAGACACAGTAACCTAAATTTCCACATACAAGCCTTTATAGAGAAAAAAGCAAGAAAAGAGAAATAAACATACAAAATCGGTACCAGAAAGGATACTCGGCCTCTTTATGTATGTATGTGTGTGTGTTTTCATACATGACAAGTCCCCACTTCCTGTGACAGCAGCTGGTTCTCGGCCTGCAGAACTGGATAAATCAAAAGAAAAGTGTGAGGCCTGTAATTACACGTCGACTGTTCCTCTTGTTAAACAACCTGATCTTATCTATAAAGTATAGCAGCATCTAGAGTTTACTTAGTGCTTAGTTTTCTTTGACCATTTTTATTGAAGTTATATGTTGTAAATATATGTGCTCTGTCAGGCTTGAGTAAGCAGTTATACATCTGACCATAATGCCATTCAGTGCGGTTGGGTGGCAAAGTATGAGGTCAACCTTCGTGCTGTCCTCAGCGCTCCTTGTTGACATGAGAATGCCTGACCTTCATTAGTAGTGCATCATGGAGTCACTAACAGCGAGGAGCTATATTTGAGACCTGAATCAGCAATGCTGCCCCAAGCAAAGCACAGTGGATCAGCATTATCCATCCCAAGGAGGCCTTTGTTGACAAGCTATCAGCTAAAATAAGCTCCAGCCGGGAGGAGGCACACATCCCCATCAGCAGCCCACTTCCTATGAGACAGGAATTTTCTGAATGATGAAGGAGAAGCTTGTACACATCCCCGGACGTTACTCTAGTTATTTATTTGTTCAACATTAATGATTAATGAGCAGGAGGGCTTTGAGTGTCAGTCAGTGAAATAAGATTAGGAAGTTAGGATATTCCAATGGACCGATGAAGTGCTAACCTCCAGTGATATCTGCATCATTTGCGCCCTTAGGAATTTGTAAAATTTTTCATAGTGTACTGACCCGAAATCCTCGATATGTCCAGGGGTTTAGCTGCTTCTCTAGCATTTCCATTTTGTTAATTAGCTCTATTGTCTGCATATCAATCAGATTAGCTCTGGGGGATCTAGGTGGAGGGTGCTAAGTAGAGCAAGTTTACCCAGGAGGAAGTACGGGGCTTTGATCTCTGCTAATGAGCTGCCAATACCGCCCTCAAGGGTTACTTCCTGGGGCCAGCTGGAAGCCTGCAAGTTAGGCCACCTGAACCTTTCCCCCATTTTTCAATCAATGGTAACCCTTCCCCCAAATTGAACTCTGTGATAATTGGTGATAGAGGTGGGCTACAGTCACCCAGGGTTCTATTGTCCCCAGTGTATTCATTCACTCACTAGCCAGACTAGGGGCCTGATGGATGTTCTCGGTGACACTTAGCTTTATTTAAATCAACTTTTCCTTTTGGGAAGCGACAGATGTGACATTCAATTTGTTCTGTCACTTTCCTCAAGCCAAGTCAGTTGTTCTGAAAGTTTGAACTTTGAATTATGAAACCCTTGCGCACAGAACTTCCTAATTTCAAAACCAGATGTCTCCAGTCAGATTGCCCATTATGCAAATTCACAAATGGAGGATGTAAGTTTGATGTACACTCTATTTCAAGATGGTTTAACAATAACACATCATGTAGAACATTCGGTCTGATCATTTTCGAAAAGCCGCGCCTGGAATGTCCAAACAGGAGTTTGTGATTCACATCCCTTAATCCTCACCACATCCAGTAAACCTCTCACCTCCTCTCACTCCTTTGTGACCGTGGGAGAGGGTTGAAACAGAAAGCTCAGCCAATCCTCAGAAGCTCT